CTTCACCTCCATCAGTACCCTATCCCCAGTTCCTACTGTACCCACTCCCTAAGCACGTCTTGGCTCTGCTCCCTTCCCTCAGCTCCATGGTTTCTTCCTTGAACCTCCCCACTGGTCTCCCAAATCTAGCCCAAGCCATTATCGATTCAGCTTCTAGAGACATTTTGGAAAAAGCTCTAACCACATCCCCCCACTCCTTAAAAAAACACTTCTCAATGGTTCCTGTCCAAAGTCTTCCCCAAGGTCGTTGTGGTTTCACGAGATCTGGCCATTTCTACTCTCCAACCTCATCCTGAGTCTCTCTTTTGCTCACTCACTCTGAACTCCTATCAGGACAAATACCAAACTCCTCTGACCTCAGGGTCTTTGTACATGCTGTTTCTGCTATCTGTACAGTGTTCTCTCCCTCTACTTCTTTTTATCATTTTTATCATTATTATCAGCTTTTATCATTCCTAAGTATCCTTCAGGTCCCCGCATAAACCTCAGGGATACCTTTTCTTGAGCCCTCCAGGAAATATCCCACAGTGCTCTTCAGTCTCTGTATCACTCAATAATCATGTGTATGGATATGCATTTAATATTTGTCTCCTTTGCTAGACTATAACTCCCTGAGGGCAAGGATCAGATCTAGTTTTTTTTAAGATTTTTTTTATTGGGGAATTGGGGGAAGGGGAACAGACAAGTTGCTGTCCTTTTGTTCTTCAGTCTAGTTGTGGAGGACGTTGCTTCACTGGCCCAAGTTGGCACCATCATTGCGCTCTTCCCGGGTGAGGCAGATCAGTCGCCGGCTTCTGGACAGCTGCTCACTGCGGCTGCTGGCCGCTCACACTGGCTGCTGGCTACATGCGGTAGCCCATGGCAACCCACTGCCACAGGGGCTGCAGTGCCGGCAACTCACGGCAGCCCAGCTCCAGGTTGAGCTGTTGTTCAGCATCTTAGCTGTGGAGGGCAGTGTCACTGGCCCTCATATGAGGGATCCGAACCGGGGCCCTCTGGCATCCCAAGCCAGTTCTTAACCATCGCGCCACTCGGCCAGCCCCCCAAGCCAGCTCTTAACCAACGCGCCACTTGGCCAGCCCTCAGATCTATTTTATTCATCCCTATATGTGTAGCACCCTGCAGTGTCAGGCACAACACAGGCGCTCAGAAATATTGGGTCATCGGGGAAAGTCATGACGTGTTTTTCTATGTTTTTCAATGCAAAAATGTGTCATGACTTTTCCGACAACTCAATATCAGCTGAATGAATGAGTGAGTGACAGAGACTTGGAGAGGATCCTTGACTTGAGACCCAGGGTCACAAGCTAATGATGGAGGAGCCTGGACGTCAACCCCCATCTCTCGAGCTCTGAAGTGAACTCTGTTAACTTCCGTGCAATATTGCCACCTTTGAGGGAACCAGGAAGGAAGAGGCTGAGATGCTGGCTGGAAGCAAGGAGGTAGGTAGGGCAGGAGTGGGAACCAATCTACTGCCAAATGAAGCCAGGCTGATGGTGAGGCGCGTTTAGCACCCAGGAAACACTGTAAGAGCTTTGCCTGTGTGGTCTCCTTTAATCCCCTGCAGGCCATGCGAGGCGGGCTTATCATCTCCTGTTACAGACAAGGAAATAGAGCTTCAGAGAAAGTAACTTGCCCAAAGTCCCCCAGCTAGTAAGTGTCAGAACCAGGATCTGAATCTGGAACTTGAGGCTACGAAATCAGCTTCTGGGAAAATCAGTCCAGAAACATGGCAGGACAGTCTGTGATTAGACTTCAGGGAGAGCTTGCAGCCACCCTCCCTTGCTCACCTCACCCCTGCGGGCTATCCATGAGGATATCTTTTTGAAATTCCAAAAGCTCTAGCAGGAAACCAAAAAGCCTCTCCAGGCAATCCCTCAGGTGGCCAGATCCTCCCAAGGCTGGCGCCTACCTCCCTGGAGGATTTCTCCTGCACTACTTCCATTTGAAAAGGAGCTTGGGGCCTTGGTGTGCCTATCCTGCTGGGGCCCATCAGTGTCCTCAGCTCAGGGATGCAGGGAAGGAGGCCTGCTTGCTGGGGGATGAGAGGGGGGATGGGGAACTGGGAAACCCCCTTAGAGCCTGGCCTTAGGCGGTAGCTTTATTTTATTTCACATTGTTACAGCCCCCACCCCCAATTTAACACTACTTGTATCGCCCCTTGTAAATATGAACTCATCGATGCTCAGAACAACTCGAGGTTAAGTACGACGCTCCGCACATTTTACAGATAGGGAAGTTGAAGCAGACTTGTCCAAAGTCACCAGCAGTAAGCGGCCGAGCTGGGATTTGAAGCCAGGATGTTGTGCTCTGAAATCCCTCTTCTCCACCGGCAAAGTCTCTTTTGGGTAGAGGGATCGTTGAACATCTTGCTCCATCCATCCGCACCCAGCCCCAGGCCTCTGTGGGCCTCTGGAAATAACAGATAATGGGGTTCCTGCTTTTCTCACTTGCCCAGAGTTTGTTTACATCAGGTGAAGCAAGTGGCCACCCCAAACAAAAGGGATGCTGGCAGAGATAACCCAATCACCCTGGGCCCGGCTGGGCTGCAGGGAGGGCCAGGATTGGACCCAGCCTACTTTGAGGCTGGACTTCCAGAAAGGGCCAGTGCCTGGCAGCCTGCTGTTTGTTGCAAAACAATGAGTCAGCCTGGCAGGTTGGGGAGTGGGAGGATGGGGTATGGGGTAGGGGGGCCTCTCCACCTTAAGCACTGCCTATTCAGCCCCGCCACCCGCCTTTCCCATGGTGGGTGCAGCTCACCCCAACCCCACCCCCCGCCATCACCCCCGCCTTCCCAGCCCTTAGAAGGCTCACCAATTTCCTTTTTGGTTGTTTGGCTGCCATAGGAAAAGTATTGAAAAATAGAAAGTGCCCTAGACAGGAAAACACTCTGAAAGCTGAAACCTGAAACCCGCCTGCCTGGGCCAACACCCGAGTGGGGGGGTGGGTGGTCAGCCGGCCAGGACTCCATCCCTGGCAGCAGCTCATGATGGCACCTTAAGCCCTGGTCAGAAGAGAGGAGAGCTTGGAGGTCCAGGGATAAGTAGTGTCCTGTTCAAGGTCACAGCTGATGCTGATGGCCAGGAGGGTAGGGCCGGTTCTGTGGGAAGGTCTCAGGGACCAGGTTACTGGCCGGGAAGAGTCTGGAAACATATACCTCCTTTGTAAAATTGGCCTTGCCAAGAGACCATGGTCTTCGTCCCGTGTGAGAGCCCCCCACCAGGGGACGTCAGGGGATGAGGCAATTTTCTTCCCTGGCTCTCACTGGATGAGCCAGCGTGACCATCCCTGATGGATCCTATCTGGCCATAGTGGTTGTCACAGACCACTCCATTTCTCTCCTGGCCCTAACCCCTCTACCTTCAGGACCCTTCCTCGCTCTGAGAAAGATAGTACTTTCCCCTTGTTAGAACAGGACAGAGGGAATTTGTTCAAGGTCACAGAGCAAATTCATTCATTCGTTCATTAAAACCTCGTTGGGCTGCTGCTGAGCCAGACCCCACAGAGGAATGAGAGGTCCTCCGAGCCAGCTGCCTAAACTGAGAACTACTCGATAATAGTGTACTGACCCCGACTCACCTGCCAAGAGTCCAGTGGGGACAACAAGAGGCCTGACTCAACCTGAGCTATAGGGAAGGCTTCCTGGAGGAGGCAGACAGAGCAGGGTTTTAAAGACTGAACAGGGAGTGGCACGGGAGGGTGTTCTGGGCTGGGAATAAATTAAATCCACCAGCCCTGGACCCCCTTTCTGGGCCCTACCTCCTGGTCTACTGGCACTACTGAGATCCTATTACGACACGACACTGAGCTGGGACCTGGGAGAGAATGCAGAGAAATTATTACGTGTTGCCTGCCCTCAAGAAGTCTGCTGCGCCAGTGGGAAGACAAAACTATCATCCTGAGGAAAAGGGTCACTCTGAGGAAAGCCAAGTGTGGGGGTGTCCACTGTGTATCCCTATGCGGGACGCGCCTCATTTAATCCTCACCAAATCTCCGTGAGTGGATACTCTTAGCATCACATTTGACAGAGCTCAGGAAGTACCAGTAACTTGGCCTGGGTCACCACCTGGTAAGGGGTGGAGCCGGAATCTAAACCCAGGGCTCACCTGTGGAGCCTGAGCCCCCAATAAATCCAGAGGCCACTTAGAGGATGTGTTAAGAGGCACAAAGCAAAGGAGGTGACTGCCTCAGCGTTCAGGTGAGAAAGGATGAAGTGGGGCCCTGGGGATGCTGAGGAAAAGGCATTGCTCAGAGAGGTGAAGACCAGCCTCAGCCCTGCCCTGGCCTCATCCTCAGGAGACCAGTCCTTGCTTGACCTCCTCTGACCATCTGCTGCCAGTGAAGCCCAGACAGCAGCCATTTGTCCAACAGATACCAGCTGAGCACCTACTAAGTGCAGGACCTGTCAGCCCTGGGATACAAGAGGGCCAGACAGTCCCTATCCTCAGGGAGCTCAGGGTCTTGTCATGTAGTCATCCTTAAATAGTTAGCAACGGCACCTATGCCCTTTCTCTGTCTAACCTCCCACAGCTAGAGAGGAGGGATGTTTCCATTTAGACTCTTCTCTTAATTGTTGAGACGCAATCCTCTCCCTGCCACCTTCTGTCCCAGGTCTCTGGGAGACTGAGACCCCTCTGCCTTCTTACATTTCCCATAGGACCAGGTGCAGTTCTGAGCGCATAACTAAGCATTTAGTGTTTGCTGAGACTAATTAGTCTCAACTAGGAAAAATTATTCTAAAGCCTGACCTTGAATCCAGACCACAAATAACTTCATCTATCCAGGCAGTTTTGAAAAATTGCCTCCCTGTCAAAGAGTGACGCTGGTTCTGTCAGATCCTATCCTGTTACTGCAGGCTCGGTGAAGATGATACCGCTGAGCCTTTAAGACTGCCAACCTGTATGCAGGGGGCAGATCTCTGAAGCTGTCAGTCAGCCCAAATGAGCCAGTCAGCACAAGACATCTGGAACTGCCAGCTGATTTAGGTGATGAATGGGAGGGCCCTGGCCAGCGCTGGGATGGGTGTGCGGAACCCAAGGCTCCTCTAGACTTTGACTGTTATGGCTGTTCAGCTACAGACATGCCTGACTCTAGGAAGGAAGGGACCCTGTGAAGAAGCTCTTCCTGGCTTCTGGGGGCTTCAGTGCAGGTAGCTCAGGAGTGAGCAATGGGGCAGGGCCTGGGAGTCCTCAGTGGGAACTAGCCATGGGGGGTCAGTAGTGCTGGTGTGCGTTTTGGGGGCTGTTGTCATTTCTGGGACTTGCATGTTTTTATTTCCTCTTTGCCCTTCCTTTAGGATTTACTAAAGCCCTCTGGGAACTTCCAGCTGCATCAGCTGCGAATGTGTGGGATCCTGAAAGGTGAGGTGACAAATGAGGGAAGGGCTGCTAAGAGGCAAGGCCAAGCTCAGGTTGGCACCAGGAGGTGGGGGCACCGAAGCTGTGGGTTTTTCACCAGGAGGGCTCTCTCTTCCCCTCCCAGACCCAGGGCATGACTGGAACTAGTTCTTCCTTTTATTTCTGGCAAAGCTAGAGGAGGGGACTTCCCCTTCTCTGTTTGTTTTGATTCTGTTGTTTTCTTAAAGAGAGGAAGGAAAACCATCATCACTTTTTCGGTTTTATGAACAAAGGCAGGCAAGAGAGGATGTATGCTGGGGCTGAGGCTAGGGCTGTGGGGGCTGGGCCTCACCTCCCGCTCCCCCTCAGCCTGTCCTCCAGCCAGTCAGAGCCCCCAGAACATGGATCAGGCCCTGTGGTATGGGGTCAAGGTTAGGTGCTGGTCTGCCTTTTAATAGCTTTTCAACTCTCTGAAGTGCACCTGTAAAAATGGGAGTTGTCAGATCAGTTTTTTAGGATTGTTGAGATTAAAAACAAAAGAAAAATATTGTAAAAACAGTGTTGGACACACAGTAAATGCTCCCGAAATGTCTTTCCTTTGCTTCCTTCCATTGTGTGTGTGTGTGTCCGTCCCTTTGGCCCAGTTGTGTGGAGTTGGGGAGAACTTCTCCACTGAAAGAGGCCCCTCCACCCCACTCTCTTCCTGCTTGTGCATACGCTGGCTTCTTTCCCAGCAGGACCTGAAAATGCCCAGCTTAGGAAAGACTTTGCGAAGTAAATGACAGGTAAGACTGGGGAGCAGTCTTTCTTGGTTCCTGGAATTGTCCCTACTCTGCTGGGGAACGGGAGAAGTCCCTGAATTTCTCCTAGCCCCTTAGTCCCTCAGGCTCCATGCCTTTCTGAGTTTTATGCCCAGGGTTTCATGCTTTTCTGAGTTTTATGCCCAGGGTGGCATGCTTTTCTGAGTTTTATGCCCAGGGCCCACCCACCCTTGCAGCTTGGGACAGGCCCCCTTTGATGAAATGTGAGGGGACTGCTCTGACCAGACAGAAAGGGAACCCCACCCTGCCCTTAGTACCTCCCTGGAGCCCAGCTCGCCCTGAAACTTGGCCAAGGCATGCTACTTTTCAGGGCATTTGTGTCTTAGTCTATAAAGTGGTTCCTGAACTTTTGAATACACCCTTACAGAATCGAAACATTTTGCAGACCAGCTCTCTGCTCCCCATGATCACAGTTATATTTTTAAATCCTTTGAGAAAAAATACAAATGACCATAAGCAAGTGTACATTCAGTAACGCTGTTAAATGAGTGTGTTTTATTCAACAGGTTCTACGTGCATTTGAAAATGTGTCCCCTTGTGTGGGAGACATCAGCTTGCGGATGACACTAATATCTACGGAGGCTTGATGCTGCCAGGGTGTCTGAGTCTCTGAGGGCACAGATAGCCCTGGGATTGAGTGATTCCTTCTTGGCCCTCCTGGGACTCAGAGACTCAGGCACCTATTAGTCAGCCACAGGCCCAGAAACAAAAGCCCAGCAGTGACTGACAAGAATGCAAATAGTGCAGTGGCTTTTCTTCAACATGTGGACACGGCCTGGGCTTGAATCTTTGCCCTGCCACTAATTAGCTCTGTGACCTGGGCACATGTGACTTAACCTCTCTGGGCCCCAGTTTTGTCATCTGTAAAATGAAGGTGATGGTGAGTTTTTGTGAGAATTAAGCGAGATAATGAATTCATGGGACTTAGCACAGGTCATATGTGGTGCTCAGTAAATGTTCCATTTAAAAATAAAAAATAGAAACAAGCCCACAAGTACCCCTGAGTGTCACTTCTTGCAGTTGCTGCTTGCCATCATGTGGGCTGGTGCGACAACTTCAGGAATGGGCTCTTTGTCCTCTCCTGGGACCCCTCCAGGCTCCTGCAGCCATCCTGGCCTCCCCTCACCTGTCCTCTTTCAGAACAGAGCTTGCCCCGCTGAGTGAGCCCCTCCTGCATTGTCCCCTGGCTGGGCCGTGTCTTCCTGACACTAGGACTCCAGTCTCCCCTCAGGTTGCTTGACTAGGCCCCAGCCCCCTCCACCCCAGGCCCAGCTTCAGCTCTGGGGACCAGAGCTTGGTTCCCAACCACATGAAGGAAGGCACACAGAAAAGCCATAAACCTGAAGGCTGAGAGGGATGTTTGTCCAAGCAGGACAGATCTGTGGCCAGGGACATGGAGGGAGTATGCTGGGACTCGAGCGGAAGCGGGTATTTCAGGGGAGAGGGGATGAGCACCGAGGAGCTGGCATGGGCAGGGCAGGAAGGAGGCCCATTAACACTTCGGCCCTGACCGCGCTTCCTCCGGCACCTTGGCCGGGGTGCACACAGGCGCATTTGTCCCACTTTCACTGTGGCACTGTGTTCGAAGCAGCCCCTGCCCCCCAGCTCCAGGTGGGCGGTGTTGCCTGGGCACAAATGCCCTTTATAATGGGCAGTGTTAGAGGAAGCCAGCACCTCCTGGGACTGGGACCACCCCCCAAAATTCAGAACTGACCCTGGAGGCTCCTCCCTCCTGGCAATGTAGGCATGTGGGAACCTGGTCACATGGGGTAGACGGGCATGGCTTCACCCCCAGGGGCCCCCAATCATGGGGGTACATCCCAGGAGAAGGCAGCCAGGTTTGGCAAAGTCCTTCAAGTGACCCTTCCCTCTTACCTTGTCTGCTGCCACCTCCTGGGCTGAAGTATGGGATTCTCAACAAGTTGAGGGGCTCTAGGGGGAGGGTGTTGCCTTGGTGAGGCCTGCAGGGGAGAGGGAAAGCAGGTGGACCCCAATTATCCTGTATGGCTCTTCCTGCACCGTCCCAGAAGGAGTGGGGCCTTAGTCAAGGATGCAGGGAAGACTACCTGACCGTCCCCTTCAGGGAGCCCAGTCCATGTGAGCCTGGGATTGAATTTGCAGAGGGGCCCCTGGTGCTCTTCCTAAGGCCAGTGGGTTAAATCACACATCTCACAGACAAACCCTCCCGTCAGGTCCCACCGAACTTCTGTTCCCATTCACAGAAATCCTCAAGCCCCTCTCCCTGTCTGGCAGCCCTGCCTTGTCTTTTGCTTTTTTAATGCACTGACAGGTGCAGGCACCTGCTGGCTGCCTGTCGGCGCCCCCTAGAGATGGCTCAAAGACTTACATTCCCCTCCCTCAAAGGGAGGATCAGGTTGTTTCTGCCCAGGAAGGGGAGGTAAGCAGGAAGAGAGCACGGATGTTGAGCTCTAGTCTGTGGCCATGACTCCAGGCTCACCCTGGGTGCAGGTAACCCCTTTCTGTAGATATTATTGTCCTCCTTTTTTATGCATGGGGAGACTAAGGAGACAGAGGTCCTATTGTCTGGGGTTTGCAGTCTAGCTGGGATGGGTCGTAAATGCAGGACAGACCCACGTGCTAGGTGGAGGGGCATCCTCTCTGGGGTGACTGAGCTGAGTCTTACCTGGCGGTAGCTAACGGGCCCTGTGCTCCTGGTACCCCTTCTCTCTGCGGGATTCTGTGTGGTGGGTGGACCTGGGTGAGGGAGGGTGACAGGGAGTGAGGGAGCAAGGCCCTGCCTTCACTGCTTTCCTCGGCCAGGTGCTCAGTCTGATGAGCTTTCCTACGCCCTGGACACCGCCAGTGAATGTGACGCCACTCCTGACCACGGCCACCAAGGTTGACTTGGGTTCATCTCCCACCCGCTGGCCAGGCTGAAGGAAATGTAACTGGTGGGTGTGACCCTGGTGTCAGTTACAAACCCAAGTCCTTTCACAATCTACAAAGCCAGAGGCAAGGCTGGCTGTCCAGGCCTAGACCCCCCCTCCCCCCACACAAACACAGACAGAAACACTTCCTCCACACCCAGCACCCACCTCCTCCACAACACGGATATCCATTCGGACACACCTCGGCCACAAATACACCCTTGCCACCCCAGCCAGTCCTCTGTTGTACAGACGAACAACACAGACATCTATGCCCATCCCCACAGCTGATGAACGCACAGCACTCCCACCCCATGGAAACTCTCCTCCAACCACAACCTCACAGACACTTATATGCCACAGCTTGCTTCACAGATAACCTCTCCTGACCTCAACCCTACCAAGGAGCTCACAAATTCAGAGACACCCAGCATGTCAGAGACGCTGCAACACCTGTGTGCACACACAATCCGCGGATACACACTGACCCACAGCCCTGAGCCAAGCCCCCACCTCCCTTAGCGCTGGATCAAGGTGTCTCTGCTGATAGACCACTTATTTATAGTTCATGGATTTTGAAACGAGAGAGAGAGAGAGAGAGACAGAGAGAGAATATGAGAATATGCAGACAAGCAAAGTGGAGAGGAAGAAAAGGAAGGAAAAACTCTGTGACTCACTTCCAGCTTAACAATGCCACATCTCAGCTCCCCAGCCAGGGGAAGGCCCCACTTGTCAACACAGCCAGAGCCTGGCTGTGGGGTGGTAAGTGAGGTCCTGTCCCCAGGTCTATTGGACCAAGAAGGTGGGGATTCCCTCTCCAGAGACAGTCTGCACAGGGGCGTGTGAGCTCGGCATCCCACATTCCTTACACCCATTGCCAGGACCTATCTTTAGGTGCTTTGGCTGCACTCCCCATTCCTAACCAAAGCCCCAGAGCCCTTTTGTTTATCGTCCCCATAACCCTGAGGTCAGACGTCTCCACCACCCACAGCCTGGCATAAGGTTCCCATTTCTAGGATTCCATGTGTAGCACCCCACTGCTCCCCATGAGCCCTTCCAGGCCGTTCTTCCAGCTGGGCTCCCGCCTGCAGTGCCTCTCCGCTCCCCCACGCTCGTCCTCTCCATCCTTGGGGCTCTAGCTTCTTCCCTGACGCTGCCTCCTGTCCATGAGCGCTTCCTGCTCCAAACCATGGTTTCTATTTCTTATTTTCTGGGTAGTGCGCCAACCTTCTCCTCCCAGTTAGACTACAAGCTCCTAAAGGGCAGGCACTGAAATGTCTTCTTTTTCTGCCTACAGGACACCATCTCCCACCCAGCAGGGCCCTGGAAACCAGCAAGTGCCCAGCAAGGTCTTGAGTGATGGACAGTAAGGGACAAAAAGAACTGAAAAGGCAAGGGGAACTCTTCTTGGGCCTCTGCCCACGAGGTGACTGGTTTCTCTCTAGACTTGAATCTCCAGTACAGAGCCCTTCCCCATTGTGCAGCTCATGCAGGCTGGGACAGTGAGGGAAGATTTCTTACCAGGCCCCGCCCCACATGAGGGCCCAGAGAGCCTTTTCTATTGCATACCTACTCAGAGCCAGGCCCCTGCTGGCTTTTTTCATGCGTTCACTTCCACACAATAGTAGCCCTATGATGTGGGGGCTGTCAGCCTCAGTTTACAATTGAGAAAACTCGGGCTTCAAGAGGCTGGGGAATGGCCCAGGTCACCCAGCTGGTAAGTGGCAGAGCCCCAGAGCCTATGCTCTCCCCACGGTACCATCCTGTCCTCATGGCCTCCAAACCCTCAGCAGGCCCTGCCTCTCTCCCCAGTTTCCCCTCTGAATCTTGCTGGTATCTGACCTTGAACCTTTTGCTCTGCATTGTCTGCCTGAAACTCTAGCTGTTTCTATCTCTGTTCTCCTCTCAAGCCACTACCCCTTTGTCTGACTGCGTCTCCTTTAACTCTCTCCTGGAGCAGACTGCAATTTGTCTGTGGTTGAGGATGTTTGTATTTCTCATAGGGAGTCGAGCTTAGCACACATTTTTGCATGTAGAAGGCTTTTCTTAAATCTGGAATCAGAAGCTCTAGACAGAGACCGGTCCTTCCGCCTCCTTGGCCCTAGCAGGGACTGCGTGCACAAGAGATGCTCCTCGTCTGCTTGTAGCTGCTCATTGTCTCTCTCTCTCTCTCTCTCTCTCTCTCTCTCACACACACACACACACACACACACACACACACACACACACACACACAGCAAACTTGCCTTCAGAGCCTACACAATCCCTGTTGCAAATGGTGATGGAAAAAACAGGCAATGGGTGCTGGAAGCATGGGGCAGACTCTCCTTGTGGCAGAAACTCAAGTGTGTGATCCCAGCCTGCAGATAGCATGTAATTATTTGGTAATAAATCACATTCCAACCCCAAGCCAGCTACCCCTGGCTTTCCCCCCCTCTGTCCCTGTGCTCCTTGCCAGACCCGCAATGTCTCAGCATTAAATGTGAAATATGGTTGTGATTTTCCTGCCTAACCAAAGTCAAGGCTGATTCCTCGATGAGTTCAGTGTCGCTGGAAGATACAGACTGACCCAGATTCTTATGTTTTGATGATATGGAGAGGGGGTTTTCAGGGGAGGGGGGAGATGGATAGTCTTTGGATAGGGGGTTGGCTCTCTGCCACAAGGTGGCTTTAGGTGGCCCGGTTGGGAGTGGCTGTTAGCACAGCTGGAGAGGGACCTGACGTGCCTTGTGTGGCCTTCATGACACAGAGTTGGGAACACAGGCCTGGCAGGATTGGACTTCACTACCTCCTTGGAGTGAGTGTGGTTGAGTGACTTGGTTTGGCCAATGAAATCAGTAGAGTTGATACATGCCACTTCCAGGTAGCAACAATAAGAGCTAATGTATGACCTTTCATATCCCTTCTTGCTGCCATGGTGATGGTGAACAATGACGTTGGTATGTAAGAGCTTCTTTCAGCTTGGGTCCCTGAGTGAGGACAACACAGTTCAGAAGCCTCCGGTGACCTGCAGCGCTCATTCGGCATGAGAAAGAAGCAAATCTTTACTGTTTGAACCCACGAAATGTTGGGGTGTTGGTTACCGCAGCATAAACTAGCCTAATCTGCTCCATATACCTACCTTATTAAAGCAGATGAGAAGATTCATAAAATAATGCACATGGAGAGCTTAGCAGAGTGTCTCTAAATATGCTGCTTCCTCTTGCTTCTTTTCCCCCTTCTCTTTCAATGTTATTTCATTTTTTATGCAACTTTGAAACAAGTCACAAAAATTTACCCCGACCCACTAGGTGTCTCGTACAGGATCACAGAGATGGTCATGGTGACAAGTAACTGTCACATGATGTGCTAAGTGTTACATTCCCAGTGTGAGTCCAGAGCTAGGTAAGCCCAGGGAAAGGAGTAGTAAGTCTGTCGGGGTCCTCGGAAGTGAAATCTGCACGAGGTTAATGAGGGAGGGGTTTGATTTCTTCAGGCAGAGCAAAGAGAAGGTGTGCGCTAATAGTGAGAGCAGCTGCCGTTTATAGAGCATCTGCTGTGTGCCAGCCACTGAATCAGACATTGAATCAGACACTTCAGCCAATCCTCCCCTATGGTCCAAGTGACAACAATACCCATGATATGTGTACTATTGTTATGCCATTTTATAAATGAGACAAACCAAGGCCAGTGAGGTTGCTGCCCTCACCCAAGGTTGGGCAGCTGGTTAATAGCAGAGTGTGTGTGAAGACACAGAGGTGTGGCAACTCCGAGTTGGCCTTTAGCCTCGTGCCTCCCAAAGGGCTGCATTACACTCCGGGGACATCGCTCTAAGAATGAGTCCGTGCTCCGCGATGTGGTCTGAGGGACGTTTTCAGAACACCGCTCTGGTAAAGTCACGCCCCTGCTCGTGAACCTGTCATGGCTCCCCGCTGCATTCTAGACCAGACCTGGCAGTCTGACTGGCTACTTTGGGCCCCTCCCGAATTTTCCAGTATTATCTCTGGTTACACTCATTCACATTCCCAGGGTTCTTTTCTGGGTCTGAACATTTCCTCCTGTTTTCTGCCTCTTGGGTTTTGCTCAAGCATGTGTGTGGAATGCCCTTTCCCAACATGGTCACCTTTCCCCCAGAGTTCAGCCCAATTCCCACCGCCTCTCTCTGCCCCAGGTGGCCCTGCTGGGATCCAGCTTTGGAGGGTGTCTGTTGAGTTCATTGGATCTGGTTTGAAATGGATAGAATGGGCAGATATTTGCTAATATTTAATATAGAGATTTTCAGTCATACATGTGTATGATTTATGGATTTGTATAAATAGATCAAAGGTGTGTGCTAAGAGCTGTTTTTACTGATAGCAGTACACAATCAAACAAGTCTAGAGATTGCTGCCGTATAGACGATGGGATGTCGTTGAGGTTTGCCCTTTCCTGACTGTGTGACTTTGGCAAGTTATTTGGCCTCTCTGAATCCAAGTTTTCCTGTGTGTAAAATGGAAATAATATCATTCCTACTTCATGGGGTTAGTGAGGGCTCAATGAAATAAAACTTGTGAAGGAAACAACACCTCCAAGATGTGTCCTGAATCCCACCCTGGAGAGGGGTCTTGCTGGGTTCGTCCAGGCTGCTAGTGGGTCCTGACAGGAGAGGCAGAAGAGGCAGGGGAAGAGGGGTGGCCCCTGTTGTTGGGGACTCTGGTTAGGCAGGCAGAGCTGAGACAATCTCAGTGGTGTTTGATAAAAGGCGGGGGCTTTCTCTGGCCAAGTAAATATTACTATAAGAAAAGGCCGTCTCTAGGGAACGGCTCCCTCCTGTTCCCCCTTTGAGGGCCAAAGTCCCCAGGGGACAGTCTGAAGGCTCCTTTTATGTGACTGTAAAATAATCCAGGGCCTGGCAGGGTCGAGCCTGGGCGGGCACTGACGCGTAGGGCAGCATTGATGTGGTCAATGATTACCTTTTATGCCTGGCCATAAAGGCAACTGCCCAGCCCCCGGACAATGCCCCCTCCAGACAATGCCCCGGGAGGGTGGGTGGACACACACACACCTGTCAGGCAGGGACCTGTCCCTGCCTGAGGTCTCTGGGGACGCCCTTGCCAGGTGCCTCTATCTCCCCAAGGAGGTTCCTGGAGACTTGGCCCAGGAGCTAAGGGGTTTTGGGTGGCTGTAAGTAGGGCCCAGTGAGGTGAGAGACACCAAAGAGCTACATCCGGGGCCCTGGATCCTGTTCTGGGGAGGTGGGGGGAGTGGGTCTACACAGAGGGGGAGGGGTGACCACCCAGACTCAGGTACCAAGTCTCAGTGGGGCTGCTCAGCTCGGGCTGGACTCGAACTGCTGTTGCTCAGAGCTCAAACTCTTGAGCGAGCTCTTAACCAACTGAGCCACTTGGCCGGCCCTGGGAGAAGTGTATTCTAATACAGAGCTAAGTCCAGTCCCAGTTTACAGGTGATGCTGCTGAGGTCTGGATGCACAGTGACTTGCCTAGGGTTTCGAGGAAGGAGCAGGGGCCGGCTGAGCTGGGTGTAGGACCCAGGCCCTTTCTGACACCATTAAGGGCATCCAGGTGGGAATGTCAGGGGTTTGGGAAAGGTTTGGACAGCTTCTCAGAGAAGATATCTCCCCTGAGGCTCAGAGGGAAGCTAGGAAGGACCTGGAGGCCTGGCTCTGAGGCTAATGCTGCAAACAGACCAAGAATGAGCCCCTCCGGGGGCCATACAGTTCACATGTAGGGTCTGCTAGGCTCACACAGGCCTCTTCCACAACCCAATCTCTTGCTGTCCTAAGTGGGGGTGCGCAGGCCGCTGTGAGGGGGCGGGGCTGGGGCATAGATGGCCAGATTAATATTCCACTTTTTTGGGCTGATAAGGCCCAGGAACCTTTGTCTGGCTGGAGGAGCAGGGGCTGAGGCCCCTGATAGGGGTTCTGACAGGCTCAGGTGCCTGGGGTATCACCATGGGGTGCCTGAGGCTGGAGGTCAGGAGGCCTGGGTCCCTGCCCCCCCTGATCTGCCTGGGCATCACTTTCCTTCCCCGGCTAAAGGGGAGAACTTTGCATCTTCTTCTTGACGGGCCTGGTGGGGACTGCACCCAAGACGCCCCAGGGCAGCTCTTGGCTGAGCCAGGCTGCTAACTTGAGGAAAGAGGCTGTTATTCACACTGGTCATAAACGCTCAGTGGAATCTGAGCGGAGTTGCTTTGAGCCCAGGCCAGAATACTCCAATCAACCTTTGGCTCTGATAAAGATAAGTGGACCTAAGGTGATAACACACAAACCAGAAACTGTCAACATGTGCTAATTAGGGTACTGGGTGCTGAGCTACACCCACCATACCTGACGTGGGGAGAAATCTCAGGTGGGGAGGTGGGGTTTCATCTGGGTGGGTGGGCTCACTGCCTGCACCTCAGCCTTATGGCCTTTTGGTCACCTTCTTCCTTCCAACGACTTCCCCA